GTAGGGGTTCTTGGTTAAATTGGTGCTATTGGGCTGTTTCTTCAGGGACAACTGATTTCAGTCAGTGAATTATATTCTTATGATTCTGGTGATCTGGTTTAGTGGCTGGGTAGCACCTTCTTCTGTGTTCCCAGGTCACATTTTGTTCATGATCTCAGCTGATCTTGTTTCTTCAGACTTCAAACTGTAAGCATCTAAATCCTCTCCCAGATGGGTTTCAGCTGAGCAGGGTAGTCTCACCAACACCTCCAAGTTGTTGGGTTTCACAGGATCAGCAGTTGGGCCCTGGGTTGTCCCCAGATGGAGTGCCCAGACTCGCCCTGGTTCCGACCCATGGAGATAGCCTCTTCCCCAGGTGTTGGGGCTAGGGGCGTCCCCGTTCCAATCTGCATCTGCCCGTCTCTGTCCCCGGGCCTGTCCACCCCTGCGGCCTGCCGCCACAGGCCCACCTGCATCTGCTTGTCTCTGCCGCCGGGCCTGTATGTCCCTGTCAACTGCCGCTGGGTCTGTCTGCCTCTGCGGGCTGCCAACAGGCCTGTATGTCTCTGCTGGCTGGCTGCCTCCGCGGGCCCACCTACCTCCACTTGTCACTGCTGCCGGGCCCATCCACCTCTGCAGGCTGCCACGGGGCCTGTATGTCTCTGCAGGCTGCCGCTGGGGCCTGTATGTCCCTGTGGGCCGCTGCCACTGGGCCTGTCCACCTCCGCGGGTCACCGCCGTGGACCCACCTGCGTCCGCCTGTCCCCACCGCGTGGCCTGTCCACTTCTGTGGGCCGCCGCCGGGCCTGAACATCCCTGCCAGCCGCTGCCGGCCTGTCCACCTCCGTCTTCTTATCTCCCCCGCCGGGCCTGTCCACCTCTGTGGGCTGCCACCGGACCTGAATGTCCCTGTTGGCCACCGCTGCTGGGCGTGTCTACCTCCGCGGGCCGCCTCCACAGGCCTACCTGCATCTGCTTGTCTCTGCCATCTAAAACTGAATGTTTTTACTGGAGATGAAAATGATCATGTGTGTGTGGACATAATGACTTCAAGCACAAGTAGAGAGAAGATCACTCCAAGAACAAAGGAATCGAGTTGGATTATGATGCATGGGATTGAAAAAGGATCAAGTGAAACTAAAGCATGTTGGAGTCAATGTAAGTTTTATGTAAGAGGCTGGCAAGAAGGAGGCACTGAGGTCTAGTTTCATTACATGTAAGAAATAAAATCTATGAATGATACAAAATCCTGACCAGGACATATTAGAGTGAAGACAGAAAACAAAGGAATTTCCCAAGTTATTTCTGCAACAAAAATGTAAATTTCTATTATTTCAATTATATCTAACATATAATTAAATATATACAAATAAATATAATACAATATTTGACATACTTGCTTTTGTCTAAGTCTTGAAGTTTCTTGTTGAATTCAGATGTAATCTCTGTAAAATTGTTTACTGCAGAAAACAGTGAATCTGAAATGGAAATCCAAATTACCAAAAGCTTTAAGAAGATGGTTTCTAAAGTAGGAAAGGTGGCAATGCCTGCAGTCTCAGCACTCAGGGAGCTGAAGCAGGAGAGTCACTCCAGCTCAGATGTTTAATACCAGCCACTTCAAGATATGAAAGCACCATTTCTATAAAGGAAAAAAAATGCACGGTTTATGTACAATTAAAGATGTGGGAACAATATAGGAAGTAATTTTTAATTTTATGAGGTATTTATATGTTGTAGCACATCTATGTAATTATAAACATATTGTTTTAAAAAAGATCTTACCTGGTGCAATAGAAACAATGATAAGAAATCATTAGAAACACAAAAGTGAATTTGAAAGATAAATGGCAACATACCAAATGATACCATATATTTCTTCATCTCTTGTGGATGCTTCATTGAAATGTTGTAGATGTTTTCAGCATGCCTTTTCAGAGCTACAGCATAATCTTGACAGTCAAAGGGAAGCACTAAAGAATTGGCCAGTTCAAACACCAGCCCTCCTCGAACCTGGGCCACAGTGAGGTGATATTTAAATGTTGGATCATAAAATTTTTCCACCAACTCATATGTTTCATAAACACTGTGATAGAGTGGATAGCTTCTGACTTTGTTTGTTTTCTACAAGGAAAAAACAAAATATATCTCTTGTAAGATATCTCATAACAAGACCCACAACGTGGTATTTACTGTGGATATTATTAAGTTTGATCACTGATGAACAGGAACCATGGAAACTTGGGAACTTAGAATTTAGTAGAGTGCTACTTTAGCTATGTGCAAATGAAAATACATGTATATATGCTGAAAAAATTAGTGTGAAAATATTCTTTGGGAGACACTCAAAAGAGCTGCCAGTCAACAAAAGAATAAAAGAGATATAGAAATGTGCTGAGAGTTCAAAGAATGGACTATACAATGTTGCATTAGAAGAAAGACTATTTAAGAAGAGATCTGGGGAATTATTAGACCAGTGAAGTAATATTACAGAATAAAATATAGGTGACTATGTCAAATCATTTATCACTGAAAATTCCACAGAAGAACCTCTGAAAAGCAGCATGTTTCACAGTGGAGGAACCAAGCAGTGAGGACACCATGGTGAACCTGGAGTCTTACTGATGGGAGAGAAGTGATTGTCAATCTGGCACAAGGAAGCTGTGTATATGAAAATTGAGGACTTTTCACGCAGTGAACTGCTGACTAATGTCTTGATCTTTTCTCAATATACTCCTTTGTTACTGATATAAAGAACACTTCATTTAGTATTATGCTGAAGAGACAGTGACTCGGGCATTATTAATGTGCATGAGTTTCATTCTAACTGCAAAATTCATTACCAAAAACTTACAAACATTCACTGCTGTCTGAATAATACCACCTGGCTTCAGGATTGGAGCACAATGGGAAATCAGAGTTGGGTCTAATCTATTTTCGCTGTGACTATATCCCTGTTTGAAATCATCTCAAGTAAAGTCCCTCTTGTATTTTAATAATTGTACTGGCTGGTTTTATGTCAGTTGACACAAGCTAGAGCCATCAAAGAGGAGGGAACTTTGATTAATAAAATGCCTTCATAAGGTCAGGCTGTAGACAAACCTGTAAGGCATTTTTTTTTATTAATTAGTGATTGATGGATAAGGGCCCAAACCATTGTGGGTGGTACCATCTCTGGACTGAGAAAGTCAGAACAAGCAAGCCATTAAGCAACACTCTTCCATGGCCTCTGCATCAGCTCATAGCTATAGGTTCCTGCCCTAACATCCTTCGATGTTCATCATTCCCAAGCTGCTTGGGTCATGGGGTTTCATCATAGCAATCATAACTGTAAATAAGACAATAACTATGACATTCTTTTCTTGTTAATGTAAATCTGAAAATTAAAAAGTAGACATAGATTATTACTTACAAACGAAGTAAGTGGGCATTAGAAAAAAATTAAAAGAACAGAAGATTTTTCACTGTAAAACAAAACTCAGGGGTCGTTTGAACACAAAAATAAAAAATCTTAAGCTATAAGCTTTCATAGAACTACTTAAAGATTTTAGAAAATATATACTTTTAAATCTTAAAACTTAAAATTGATCTAACACGACAAGAAAGGAAATGGAAAATGGGGTATGATTTCGTTGTATTATACCAATATTTTCAGAGATTTGTTATTTATTTGATGATCTGAGCTACAACAACAGGTAAAAATCCAAATACTGCTATGTCTTGCTGATTTGGATTAATTTTGAATGAAAGCTAGAAAAGATGAATCCAAGATAATTCTCACTAACTTAAATGATGAAGTGAATATTGAGTGACAGAATACATTTAAGGGAAATCAGGGAAGTTCCAGACTGCAAGAAGCAAGATGAGTGCCAAGTGGAATGTGAAGACAGGCTCAGAAAAACAGACAGACAACCAGCCAATGAGTCATAGCCAATTGGCTTTCCAATCCTTCCTCCATGCCAGAAGTACTTTTTGAAGTAAAATTTATTAACTTAGTTGAAAACATACTCACACTTAATCCTTACGAATTCGTTCATTTAGACTTACCCAATTTTTAGTGTATCGTGCTCTGCCTGAAGCAATTCCAAGTCTTTGGAAAAACACTTCAAAATCATTGCCAGACCCCAGCTTGCTAATCCTTTCAGAGATAAAGTTAGTAAAATTAGTTTAGAAGGCCATGTTCATTCTATGAAGATCAAATGTCAATTGCTAAATTCTAGTTGTACCATTACAAATATGATAGCCTTAGACGTATAGTTCAAATAGGTTATTTACTTCAGTTCTGAAAACATGCTTCCTGTGTAATACAATTCTATGAAGTGGCACGTTTATAAGTCACAGATTTATTTAAGGATTCTGGAAGTTGGAAAATACTTTCCTTCAAACTATTTGCTTCGGTTGTTTCTGTTATACATTTTCAGATAATTAGAACTAAATGTATTCTACCTGACCATTTTAAGTTGTTGACACTATAGATGTCTGCATTTACAAACTATTGAATACTTGTTTCCCTTCTCTTGCATGTAAAGACAACAACATAGTCATAGTTATAATTTATCAGAGTAAACAAAATATTTGTTAATTGCCTGGTGCTCAGGAAAATGAATAACTATAGACAGACATGGGATGGATATTTGACAGGAATTGTCTTTCATTTTCACCATTGTGACCTTTTACATGTACCATATACAAGCATCACGTATCCTTAGGGCACCATTGTTCTCCCTTTCTTTTCAAAACATTTAAAAATTATTTTTCAGTGTACTTTGAAGGGCCCATAACTTTAGAACCTTGTCTGCTTCCTCTTGTATGCAATGCAGCTTGCTCAAAAATCAGCCTTTGAAACTCATATATTTAATTTCAAAACACAGCATAATATTTCATTGCAAATCTAACCACTGCATTTATTTGTCAGATATCAGAGCATTTTAAAAGTTACTTTTTACTAACAATTGAAAAAAGAGTACTGTTGCTGGAGGGTTTCTCTCCAGCTTCCACCAAACCCCGCAGTTCCACAATCCCCGTACAAAATAATCACTCAGACACTTATAATACTTATAAACTATATGGCCGTGGCAGGCTTCTTGCTAACTGTTCTTATATCTTAAATTAACCCATTTTTATAAATCTATACCTTGCCACATGGCTGGTGGCTTACCGGTGTCTTTACATGCTGCTTCTCCTGGCAGTGGCTGCAGTGTCCCCCTCCTCAGCCTTCCGCTTCCCAGAATTCTCCTCTCTCCTTGTCCCACCTACTTCCTGCCTGGCAACCTACTTCCTGCCTGGTCACTGGCCATCAGTGTTTTATTTATATAGAGCAATATCCACAGCAGAGTACCCTTTTATTTCCAAAACAATCCATAGAACAACCAAACTGGGTATGATGGTTAGGTTGTTTGTGTACCTGGGCATTCCACTGAATTCTGGTGAAGGACTCCTTTCTCTCCAGCTGTCATAAAGAGATTTGTCTTCAAAGCCTTCATCCGGGCTTTGCAGCTCCACATGTAAAAAGAAGAGAATACTCAAAATCTGGTGCATAAACTTAAATGTCCCTCAATGAGAAAGTGGAGAGTTAAACTACATTACAGCAAAACAAGAAATGAGATCTCTACATTTGAATTGGTGTGAATTATGGGACTGCTGTGTGGTTCTATGTGAGAATGTTTTTCTGGTATGCCAGAGGCTTTGGCAATGCCAAATGCCCAGCACAGGAATTTGACAGTTACATTAAGAAATTTCTGAAGGGAAGATGTCTGTGCATGTGTAGTTTAAAGTGTGAAGATGTAGAGTGCATAGAAAAGAATTTAACAAACTATTAGCAAGTCACAAGTCATTGTCTGTGGAAGAACAATCATAGGTCTGTTTTCAAAGACAGAAGGAAACTACTCTCAAAATCATATACTTCTGCTATTCCTGTAAATAAACATATGGAACAACCTTACTAATGGAAATATTTCTGTTAATATTGCTTCTTGTCAGTAGGATTGCTGAAATCTTACATGATATTTAATGAAGTCATTAAATAACATAACAAAATGCAATGTAATTAATGGTATTTTTAATTAATCGCTTGTTGTAATTGTGCTAAACACTAGGCTTGAAACTTATTATCTGTTTTGTTGTTATTGTTGTTGTTGTTGTTGTTGTTTTGGTATAAAACTTAAAAGAGAGGCCAGGCAGTGGTGGCCCATGCTTAAAGAGATGCTGGGTGGTGGTGGCACATGCTTTTAATCCCAGCACTTGGGAGGCAGAGCCAGGTGGATCTCTATGAGTTCAAGGCCAGCCTGGTCTACAAAGCGAGATCCAGGACAGGCACCAAAACCACGCAGAGAAACCTTGTCTTGGTAACAAAAAACAAAAAACAAACAAACAAAAAAGAAACTTAAAAGAGTGAAGCATAACCTATTATTGAATTTTAGAATTAGAATATATCAAGTTGAATAAGAAATATTTGATAAGCTAAGCATAACTAAGGTTCCAAAGTTATTTAGGTTCAGTGGAAGAATTATACAATATTTTAATTCATACTTAATTACTGTCAAGTGTACTAGTTCTCAGAAAGGTCAACTCAAAAAATTATTGACCACCTACACTATTTAAAGTTTTTATACAAAAATGTAGAAGTCACTGTACTATATACTGAAACAAATGTATATATAAATAATTATCCAGACACAAATTAGATTTTTCTAGCATGGGAAGAGATTAAGAAGATATATCAGCATCTTCAAATATAAAATATGAATAAAGAAAAATTGTTTCACTCACACAAATTCATCCTCCATTTTCTTAAGAAGCATACATTTAAAGGTATAATACTGTGTTAAATTATCAGTTTATCAAGCAAACCTTTGTAAATAACTGCAAATGCTCTCCCCCAAAAGTGGTTTTTGCAGTACATTCCAGGTGAGTCCAAAAATCTGTCATGCAGCTGGAATGATGGTACATGCTTGTAATTCCAGCACTCTGGAGGCTGAGACAGGAAGATCTGGAGCTCAAGTCCAGATACATCTGGACTACCTATGAAGATCCTTTCTTTAAAAAAGCCTTTCACATAGAAGTGTTGGTGCCGCCTCTCAACCACATTCAGTATCTGTTGCTGCTAAGAGAGTTAGAAAGCACGTCAGGTCCTCTTGATGGACCCACAGGTTGGAGTACAAGGCAAAAGATAAGAAGGCATCTATAAGGCATCTTCTAGTCTTTGCCCCAAAATGATTCTGCATTTTCACTTAAGACATTGTTTTTCCTACATTCTGAGTTAATTGATTTCACCATAAAGGGGATTTAAAGCAGTTAGAGAGTATAGGAATTGAACTTCAGTTTAAGCAACTGTGTGACTCTAGTGACTGCTTTGAAAGGTGTGTTTACTTATTATCAAACTGAGAATGGTAGACAGAACGTGGCCTAAAGGCTGCCTCACAGAGGTTAGGAAGATGGGAAGTAGTATCTGGAGAAAGAGTTGGTTAACTGTGACAGTTCAGGAAAATAAAGTTGGCTATGAACAATATCAATGTGCAACATAATAATTGCACCCCAAGAAAGTATCACTTGCAGCATTGCTAAGATGGTTTGTCTTTCTCTTTACCTCTTTTGTTAGGTTGTACACTAAGCTGTGCATCAGTGGTGTGCAATCGACTCTTAGAGTATAGTTTCCTGAAACAGAAGGGATAGAATGGTTTATTTGTTTTGTTTCTGTTATTTATTCAAAGATTGTTGCAAAACTCTATACAGAAAGATCCCTTCAAACATGCAATTAATGAAAACTCCCTAATGTTCCCCCTCTTAATGTAAAAATCCAATGTCTTTGGCATTGACAAAGCTGAAACTAGGCCTGAGGTTGGGAAGAGAGCTAAATTGTAGGCTATCTGTCCAAATCTTCACATGCCACAAAATCCAAGACCTCAGCCTGAAGGTCTTTGCAAATACTGTTCCCTCAGTCTGGATCAGTGTTCGACCTCACATCAGCATGACTTCTTCACCCTTTGGACTCATATTACATTTTCTGAGTGATCTCCTTCACTCCTCTAAGTGACACTGTGCATTGTATCCACTCCATACTAGCTACTGCCCTCCTTTCTTACCCTTGGTCTGTTTTTGACATCACTCACCTCCATCACACATTGACTAACTATCTTATCATTGCTTTTATCCAAATGGACTATTAGAGAAGAGCCTATACACATGAGTCCACAACATGAGATTCCTTCCAGGAATGCTATGTATCTTTTATTCTCAAATTAAAGGATCCATGTCACTGAAGGCTGAATAGTGCAGGCTTGCAAATCCAACACTCAGGAGAATGAAACAAGATTTGAAGATGACAGTTCTTTTGGAGAGGACATTAAGAGTTGTTTATGTATTGTTTTTAATATTTTAATTTTATAAACTCCATTATTAACAAAATAATTGAAAATAAAAAATGTTGTTTTGTTATATGTATATGACTACATTTTAACATAAATTTAAAAATATGTGGTTTATTTTACCTCTTAAGAAATGAACATCTAACCAAAAAATGCAATATCAAATGAGATATGTGGTATCTCAATCACACTGTACCTATGTGTATTTGTTATTGATCCTAAAAAATTATGATCCAGTTCCACATATGACATAGTCATCTAAGGCCAGTGATGTACTAAAATGTCAGACAAGTCAAATGTTTGAATCTATCAGTAAAGATAACAACATTTGCGTTATTTGAAATACTTACTTGGAATATTTATTCTGTAATGCACACATGTGCCATATGATCATATTTGTACTTGCAGTTTTATAATGTAGGAAAATAAGTGAAGGACATTGGGCATGCTAGGTAACCTCTTTGTCGCCGTGCTATAACTAGATCCCAGAACATATGATTTATGTAAGGAAAGAATGATAATCACGTTGGAGATTTTGAATAGTCACTGTATGCATGTCAGATACCATGGAGTTTGCAAACACCAAGTCATTTTAAAAGCATGATAAAAGCCTTTGAGATAGGTACTTTCTTTAGAGGTAAACAAATTCAAATACACACACACACACACACACACACACACACACACACACACACACACACACCTTGAAGTCACAAAGGAAGGAAGGAGATGGCAGTCTGTTCTCAATGGCACTTCCATTGTCCATTAACTGAGATGAGGAAGGGGAACTGACCTGCACCAAGAAGGCTAAATTTGAAACAATGATACTCAGAAATGCAGATGAAGAAGAAAATGTAAATGTCAATGTGACTCCATCAAGACATTATGTTACCATGTTGGCATGGTAAATTTACACTGTGTGTGTGCGTGCGTGTGTGTGTGATTGTGTACATGTAAAAGTGAGAATACAACTTTATGGAGTCAGTTCTCACTGTTCAACTTTAAATGGGTTCCTAGGATACAACTTCGTTTGTCTTGCTTGCCTGAAAGTGCTTTCCCTGGCTTAATTATCTCTCCAGTATCTATATTTAAATATCATAGATCATTCAAAAGTAAAATATTCTTCAAGTTCACGACATAAGCATTCAACAGGTAATTGTCACCATATTTAAGAGAATCTGATAGAGGAGGCAAAGTAAGGAATGCTGCCTTCCTGGACCAGCACTGCAATACAGAGTAAGGGAATGTCTCTTAGTCACCTATCCAGTTAGCCCTGAATCAAGGGAAGTGGTGTGAAAACAGCCGCACATATTCTAACCACATGTTAATTCTGTACTAGAATATAATTCTTCTACTAAATTGTTATCTCCAGAGTAATAATATGTTCTCTATTGAAGCCAACAACATTCACCTTCTATGGAAGAGTCAGCATTAATATAAGCCACACCACGTTCTTGGAGGAGTCTGGAATGTTCCTATAATAAGATATTAAAAAACAAACAAATAAATAAAATGAAAACTATAAGCATTATATGATTGCCTCTGACCCAAGACCCATCTGCCCTTTTTGAATGTAGATGTTTGAATGAAGGTGGATAATGTGTCCCACAAGTTTGGCATATAAAAGTATCAAAAGAATGTTGGTTTGAGGAAGTTCTACAGTGGTTGCCAGTGGAAACAAGAGCAACAGTTTCTAAACTACATTTGAAAGCATGAACACACACTGTAGATGAGAAGGCAGGTGGGGTTTTGATCATGCACAACCATCCCTCATAATTTTTCTCAGTAAACATCTATTTAGGAGTCTTTTCAGTAGAAATATACTTTAAAAAATACTGTCATTATTTAAACAGCGATGATTTCTGGGATTCACAAGGAATGAGCTGTTTACATTTAGTGGTCAGGAAATTTACAAAGGAAATCTGACCATGAAGCCAGTTTCTCTTGTAGTATTTTGCCACCTACTGGTAATTTGATAGATTGCACACTTTTAGAACTAAGAACTGTGGCAAAGTGCTACTAAGACATTTGGGGTCTCTAAAACATTGCATTTCCTGAGGATTTTGATTGTAAGGAAGAAAATAAGGAAAGTCTATGCAACTGTGAATGACAAAGGAAAATATGATCACAATGTAGTGGTTCAGGGGTCGAGACAGGAGGATTGTGGGAGTTCCAGGGCATCCTGGGTTAAATAACAAGACTGAAAACCAAAAAAGAAAAAAATAATAATAACAATAATAATTATATAGATGCAAACTATTTCCTGAACTATTCATAGGTTTGCCTAACACAAGGATAAATTTTTTTGTGGAGAAAAACTTCACCTTGAATAACAGGAATTCAGCAGGTTTTTAGAGAAACCTGTAAGGCTTATGTTTAACAGGAGTCACATGAGCATTCAAGCAACAAGAGGAAGCTGGCGGAGCAGATAGCAATGCTGCGTGTATTTACTGCACTGTCACTCCAAGCCAATAATAAATTCTGATGGAGTTATTATTTAGGGGTGCTGGTAAATACTCTGTCTGCTTCACTGTCTGCCGTATTTAATAGAGAGGGGATAAATGTAAACCAGGCCTTACTATAGAACCTGATGGCTCATTGTGACTAGCACCTGAAGCTGTTTTGAGTGGTGTGGAAGAAACCCATTAGAAACTTCCATGTTCATTTTTTGTATTTAGTGTCCAGTACCCTGATTTATTTACTGTATTGCATTGTCAAAACATAAATATAAATTAGTTTCAATTGTTGACATTAGGTGTTACTCAAAATTCAAATAAAACTGAATTCTTAAATTAAAATAATTTTTGCTGAGTTGTAAAAAAGTTCTTATAGTTTTATTGATTGATTTAGTGTTTGTGTGCATGCTATGGGAGCATCCATGCCATGACACATATGTGGTGGAAGGAAGACAGATTGCAGTTATCAGCTCTCTCCTCCCACCATCTGAGACCCAAGAACTGGACTCAAATCATCAGCTTGGCAGCAAGTGCCTTTATCAGCTGAGTGATCCTCTTGCCCTCTTGTAGATTTGTGAGCAATGATGCTACCCTTTGGGATAATTAGGCATGTACAACCTGTCCTGTGGGCAACATGCAGTCAAGTATAGGTATCAATGCAGTCCAACACAAAATTGTAAACATTATGAAATGATTGTCATTCAGTGACTCTTAAGAATAACTTGATTGTGCGATTATTCAGAATGAATTTTGTCTACAGGACATTATGTTGCAATATCAAAAGGTTGAACACACAGCAGAGGTGTTTTAGAAAAACTCTAAGCATTGCCTGACTGGAATCATTTGTTATTCATAAAAAAGTCCCAACTGCTTTGTCATTTATATGGAAGCAAATTGTCAACCTACCTCTGCCCACTCAGTAGAACCAAGAAGGCCAAATTCTTCTGCATCCCAACTTGCAAACAGAATCGTTCTTCTGGGCCTCCATCCTAAAATACATGTGGATAACACATAAATGCTGGCAATGTATATCATACACCCAAGACATGGAGAAGTCTACAAGATGGGAAAACCTGAAGTGCTGGGGGAGGTGGGGTTTCACTTAGAAAGTAGGAATGTGGATCACATCCTTATTTATACAATTTCTTTTTGTGTTTTAAAAATAGATTCAGCTAAATATCAAATAGTGTACTTGAATGGCAAAAAGAATGTAGAGAATGAAATCCCCAGGATGCCATGAGATATTCCAAATGTTTTACAATTGGCCATGAGTAGGAAAACCACAGTGATCTGCAGATGCCTGACAGAGGGAAGAGTCACAGGTACAGCCAGTGCTGCAGAGGTAGACAGAACTGTGGGAGACTACATAGAATCCTGCCAAGTTATTCTGCAGTAACATCATCCATACCTCAAGGCCATCTGATTCTGTGATTTTTCTCTCTACTATCTTGTAAAATTGGTTATCAATGGCTTATTTTGAGATAGCAACATTTATTGATATTGAAAGACATGCAATTTGATAAGTAGGATTTATGATTTCGAGGTAATAAACACTGCCCCTGGAATTGAAGAAAAATATAGTTTTAAATACTGATTTTCTCACTTCCTAGATGCAAGTGAGATTGTGCAATACAAACTAAGCCTTCATGTCTTCATCTTAAAACCAGAATAGCAGAGCAAAGAAAAGACACCTTTTGATTGTCAGGAACATTAAATGGAATACTGTTTATGAAGCATTTAGTAAATGCTATCAGGTTCTTGTAATTCTGATAAATATTTCGGTGTATTTATTAAGCATGTTTTCCTTATAACTGTTGAATACAATGTTTTCTTATTTCCAATGTGTTATGGTAATATTAAATTCCATAACCATTCATTCTTTATCATTCTTTGAGCATATCCCATAGTTATAACAATGTGGATTTGTATTCACTGTAGAAAATTTCTTGTGAAATCATGAAACCTTTTGTAATGAAGTTAAACATAGCCAAGTTCATGAACTATGTAAACACTCGTCTCTCAAATTGTGTTTATTAAAATGTAAATGGTGCACCTTTTATTTTGAACAGAGACAACAGGAATTTTCAATGTACCAAACCCAGTATTTGACCTCTGTCACACATTAACTATAAAAACCTAGGCTAATATATGTAAAATGGGAACAGAATATGGAAAATGGAAAATATCTCCATGGTTGCTGTGGCATCAAAATAGATGACATATGTAAACAGTTTCTTGGGATATAGCACCCAAACTAAACATGCTTTCTTATTGTTGATTAATAGTTAAGGGCTGCGAGATGGTTCTGCTGGTAAATATACTTGCTGCTAAGCCTGACAACATGAGTTTGATCCCTGGAATCCACATTGAAAGAAAAAAACAGACTTCTACAAGCTGTCTTCTGATTTCCACGCACTCTGTGATATGCATGCATGTGCACACACACACAAATAAAAGTATACATATATGTGTATGTAAACATTATACATATATGGCCTACACTTTGCAGAACCCAGTTACCTTGTTTAAAGAATCTGTTAAGAGAATAAATGATTGGATCTCTATATGTAATGATTATAAACCTACCAAGCCAGACCATATCCCAACAGAGAGATGGAATCTGTGGAGAAAATTGCACCCTAAACCTTGGAGCCAGTGGCAACTGATAGCTTCTGGGAGAGGTTTGCAAAGTTTGCTCTAAGAATGTAGTTCCTACTAAGTGAACCATGCTCCAAGAGAAGGCTACACATTCAAGAATATTTAGGCAGCACAAATTTGTCTTGATAGGTTAAAAAAAATATGGCACAAATGTGGGTGAGAGGCGAAGAGTTGGGGAAGAGTGGTAATGATTAAAAAACACACATTTTAGGAAACTTACAAAGAATGGATTAAAATAAACTCTAAAGGACACACAAAATATTTCTTAATTAAAAATATTTCTGAAAAAAATCCCCAGAGCTATCTCTTTCTGCTTAAATTTTAATATATCACTTGAAGATTCTAAAGACTTACTTAATGGTGGTAAAAATATGAATGGGAATAAGATATCTAGTTTAGGACAGAGGCCCACTTGGAAGAATCATAAAAATTTTTCTAGTTAGATCCTTTTTCTCCTGAGTTACATAGTACAGGTGACCTGAGGTGTTATGATGGATGAAGGAGCATGGGATTGTCTCCCCCAGTTCTTGACCAGGAAATCCTTGACAAGGCAAAAAAAAAAAAAAAAACCAAGTGACTTATTTCAGATTGTCAAATAACATATAAATATTTTATGAACTAATTAAAAATAATTTAAAAAATTAACCAACATTAATGTTTGCACTGCTATTGTTACTAACTTATTGACATTATTTAGCTTGTATTTATGTATTTACTTTTTTCCTTTTTTATTTTTAAATTTATTTATTTTACATCCTGACCTGTTTCCCCTACATCTTTTCTCATTCCCTACTCCTCACCTCAACCCTGCCTCCAAATACACTTCTCCTCTGTTTCTGTTCAGAAAAGGGGCCTTCCATTAATATTAAAAATGTTGTAGTAAGACTAATCATCTCCCATTGTATTAAGTCTGGGCAAGGCAATCCAGTATAAAGAATAGGTTCTCAAAAGCCAATTAAAGAGTTAGAGACAGACCCTGAACCCACTGTTAGGAGTCTCACAAGAAGGCCAAGCTATGCAACTGTCCTATATATGTAGAGGGTATAGATAAGTCCCATATGGGTTCCCTGGTTGTTGGTTCAGACTCTGAGCCCCTGTGAACCCAGGGTAGTTGATTCTGTAGATCCTCTTGTAAGGTCCTTGACTACTCTGGCTCTTATAATCCTTCTTCCCTCTCTTCAGTAGGATTCCTGAGCCCAGCTTAATGTTTGGCTGTTTCTGTTTCCATCAGTAACTAAATGAAAAAACTCCAATGACAGGTGGGGTAGGCACAAATCTATGAGTGTAGTAGAATATCATTAGGCATCATTTTTTTCACCAGCCACGTTTGGTTCACTCCTAGGTCTCTAAACCATCCAGCCTCTGAGTTCTGGCACTCCAGGTAGTGTCAAGTGTGGGCTCACTCTCATGGACTGGGTCTCAGGCTGGACCAGTAACTGGTTGGTTACTCCCACAGTCTCTGCACCACCCTTGTCCCAACATATCCCATAGGCAGGACAGGTTGTATATAGAAGGTTGTGTGGCTGGATTGGTATCCCAATCCTTCCACTGGAAGTCTCGCCTAGTTACAATAGATGGACAGTTCAGGTTATGTATCTACTCTTGCTATGAGTATTAGCCAGAGTATTCTTGGAGATTCATGGGAGTTTTCCTTGCCCCAGGTTATTGTCAGAACCCTAAAATGCACCCCCCTTTCCACACATTCCTTTCAAAACTGTCCTATTCCATTCACACTCCAACATGATCCATGATGTTTACTTGTCCCAAGTCCCTCCAAGAAATCTCTTCTATTTCTCCTTCCCAGAGAGATCTGAGTGCCCCCCACCCCTTGAGCCCTTCTTGTTAGCCAGACTTCCTGGGTCCATAGATTGTAGCATAGTTATCCTTTACTTTAAGACTAATATCCATTTGTGAGTGAGTACATATCCTGTTTGTCTTTCTGGGTATGTGTTACCTCACTCAGGATGACTGTTTTTCTAGTTCCATCCATTTGCCTTCAAGTTCTATAATGTCATTGTTCTTAACAGCCAAGTGGTACTCCATTGTGTTAATGTAGCACACTTCATCAATTCATTTGAGTGACATCTAAGTTGTTTCCGGGTTCTAACTCTTACAAATAAAGCTGCTATAAACATAGTTGAGCAAGTGTCTTTGTGGTATGATTGAACATCCTTTGGGTATATGCCCAAGAGTGATATAGCTTATTCTTGAGGTACATAGATTAAATTTTCTGAGAAACCACCATATTGATTTCCAAAGTAGCTGTGCAATTTTGCACTCCCACCAGCAATGGAGAAGTGATCTCTTTGCTCCACATCCTTGCCACCATAAGCTGTATCTTGTGGTTTTTGATCTTAGCCATTCTGACAGGTATAAGATGGAATCTCAGAGTCATTTTGACTTGCATTTCTCTGATAGCTAAGGATGTTGAACATTTCTTTAAGTGTTTCTCAGCCATTTGATATTCTTCTGAGAATTCTCTGCTTAGGTCTGTATTCCACTTTGTAATTGGTTTATTTAGTTTTCTCATGTCTAGTTTCTTGAGTTTTTTGTATATTTTGGAAATCAGCCCTCTGTCCAATGTAAGGTTGCTGAAGATCTTTTGCCATTCTGTAGGCTGGTATTTTGTCCTATTATAGTGTCCTTTGCTTTACAGCATTTCGGTTACATTATGTCCCATTTATTAATTGTCAATATTAGTTACTGTGTTATTGGTATTCCCTTCAGGAAATTGTCTCCTGTGCCAATGCCTTCAAGGGTATTCCCTAATTTCTCATTGATCAGGTTCAGTGTTCCTGGTTTATTTGAAGTCTTTGATCCACTTGGTATTGAGTTTTGTGAAGGATGATAGATGTGGATCTATTTGCATTCTTCTACATGCCACCCTTCAGTTAGACAAGCACCATTTGTTGAAGATGCTTTCTTCTACATTGTGTAATTTTTGGCCTCTTTGTTAAAGATCAGGTGTCCATAGGTGTGTACATTTACTTCTGGATCTTTGATGCAATTCCATTGATACACTATCTGTTTTTATGCCAGTAACATGAAGTTTTCATTACTAAAGCTCCACAGTAGAATTTGAAATCAGGGGTGGTGATACCTCCAGAAGATCTATTATTGTACAGGATTATTTTAGCTGAGGTTTTTTTTTTTTGCTTTACCATATGAAGTTGAGTATTGTTCTTTCAGGGTTTAAAAAAATTGTATTGGAATTTCTGTGGGGGTTGTGTTGAATCCGTAGATTGATTTCAGTAAGATGTCCATTATTAATATGTTAATACTACCAACCCATGAGTATGGGAGGTCTTTTCATCTTCTGTTATCTTTTCCAATTTCTTTCTTCAAAGGCTTGAAGTTCTTGTCATACAGGTCTTTCACTTGCTTGGTTAGAATTACTCCAAGATAATTTATATTGTTTGTAGCTATTATAAAGGATTTTTGCTTACCTGATTTCTTTCTCAGCCCATTTATCATTTGTATGTAAAAAAAAAAAAGCTACTGATTTTTTGAGTTAATCATATATCCAAACATTTGACTAAAGGTGTTTGTCAGCTGTAGGAGTTCCATGGTAGAATTTTTGGGGTTGCTTATGTATATTGTCATAGCATCTCTAAATAATGATACTTTGATTTCTTTCTTTCCTATTTGTATCCCCTTAATCTGCTTTAGTTGTCTTATTGATCTATCCAGAACTTCAAGTACTATATTAAATAGATATGGAGAGGGTGGACAGCCCTGCCTCTTGTCTGATTTTAGTGGAATTGCTTTAAGTTTCCCTCCATGCAATTCAATGTTGGCTGTTTGGCTTTCAGCATATTGGCTTTATTATGTTTAGGTATGTTTCTTGTATCCCTGATCTAAGACTTTTATCATGAAAGGGTGTGAGATTTTTGTCAAAGAGTTTTTCAGTATCTAATGAGATGATCATGTTTTTTTTTCTTTCAGATTATTTATATGGTGGACTACACTGAGAGACTTTTATGTTGAACCATCCCTGAATCTCTAGGATGAGGCCTATCATGGTGGATAATCTTTTTGATGTGTTCTTGGATTTGGTTTGTATTTTACTGAGTAATTTTGTATCAATGTTCACGAGTGAAATTGTTCTGTAATTCTCTTTTCTTGTTGAGTCTCAGTGTGGTTTGGGTATTAGGATGACAGTGGCCTTATAAAAAGGATTTGGCAATGTTCCTTCTGTTTCTATGTCCAGGAAATCCTTGGCTAGGAAAACCTTGACAAAGCAACAAATATCCATTTGATTACTTCAGATTGTCAGATAATATATAAAAAGTATTTTACATACTAATTTAAAAATAATAAAATATAATCAATCCAAAATTAATGTTTGCACTGATATTGTTCATTTATTTACCATGTTGAGCTCATATTCATTTATGTGGTTTTCTGTTCTGTACTGCAAATTGAGAAGAGGACTTCCAGCATACACAAGGGTTGTGTTCTAATATGGAGCTACTTCCCAGCCCCTGAAATAATATTTCCACACTTACTTTTCCAAAGATTAAACTGAAATTTCCAGAATTTGGTTTTTCCCTAGCTGTTTCTCTTACCTTCCTTCTTCAGTGTTCCAAAGCTCCTCACAATTTCATTAACAACAGCTGCTCCACTCTGAGGGTCAATTCCACCAAAGACCCAGGCATCTCGGTGACCTCCAAGAATGACATATCTGTCTACACATCAGCAGAGCAAGGGTCGCAAACAAAGAAAATTACAAATGACTCAAAAGCATTCACAACTCAAAGCAAAAATACCAAAGTTCCTAAGGCTTAGGTACATAGGTTAGTGTCTCAGATTTCAGTTTCGGTTTTACTTATCTGGTGAAATTATGAATGTGATTTAAAAATTAATTCAATGTATTATTGAGGTAATATGCATATGGATAACAGAAAAATATGAAATTATCTCTGGTTTCCTCGTCACAATTCTATAATATCTGTTGCCAATTTGTGTCCATCATTTTCAGAGAGAATACAGCTCTCCACTTTCTAGTCCTTCCTATGTCCCAATCAATAAATGTTCTTCTTTTATGATATTTTCTGTCTATTATAGAAAGAGGAAACTCCTTGGGCTGAAAGTTTTGGAGCCAATCTTTTCATATTTGATTAGATATTTATCATCCTTAAATGTCAAATTCTTCGTTTAAAACATGATCCCCAAGTTCCTAATTTCTGTGTGTTTCAAATCCTCAATTCCAAAGTTTGTCACAGTCCCTGCACAAAGTAATCATCTAATCAGATCCAATAAGTAGCTTGTGTGTGTGTGTGCGTCTCCATATGTATATGCATTTTAGTACTTATAAACCTTAATATTTTAAAATTCTTGGTTCTTAAGAAAGAGCATATGTTTATTCATAGCATAGTACAACACATAATGACAATTTCAGCATTTGGGAGGAGATAACATAAAATTAAGTCCAAACCCAGCCTACTCTATCTACTCTGAGATCTTGTCTCATAATAACAAATAAGCAATATATTTGTAAGAAATATATTCAACATAATTGTACTATTTATGCTAAATATAATAATAATCAACTAAATCTTTTTTTTAATTTCATAACCAATTCAATTTTACATATCAGCCACGGATTCCCCTGTCCTCCCTCCTCTCCCCCCCCAATCCATCCCCCATTCCCACCTCCTCCAAGGCAAGGACCTGTCCTTAGTGCATGAGAATCAATTAAATATTAAGAAAGCAAATCTAAAGTTTAAAGAATTTAAACATATAATAAAATATGTATAATTCTTTAACTGAGTCTCACAATGTTTACAAACCACACTTAAGGGAGGCCCCCATGCCTGGCAGGAATTGGCCAACAGAAAATTAACTTCTTGGTACTTTGTGATAGTTTTGTCTCATATTGCTTTGTTTGGACATTTTTTAAACTTTTCTGATGGTTTCCTTATATATAATACTTTCTGATGTGGTTTTGTGGTGTGTGTGTGTGTGTGTGTGTGTGTGTGTGTGTGTGTGTGCATGTGTCTACCTGTGTATGTGTGCATGTACTGCTCATGCTTGTTCCTCATTTCCTTTTTTTACTCTGTTTATTTTGTTTTGTTTGTTTTTTTGCTTGCTTGTTTGTTTTCTAAAGGGAGGAAGAAAGAAAGCATGGAGTTGTATGGATAAGAAGGTGTGGAGAACCTGGTAATAAATGAAAGAGGGAAAATTAATTAGAGTATATTGTATAAATTATTTTTCAACAAATAAATAGTTCAGCTTATCACTCTCATCTATCCTCAAACTTCCATGTTTCTTTTCTTACAGCACGTATTATGATATACAATACTCAGAAAGTCTTACTCTGTGTTTGGGTGTGTTTCATTAGGGAAGCAACTTGAATTCTTAATTCATTCTGCACCCAGAGTAGTAGTGATACATGACCTTTGATTCACCAATACTTGCCAAACAAATGCTCCATTTACCTGGTTCCACAGCTCCTTTGAGGGTGCCAATGACATTATAGATTCTTGTCACTTTACTGTAGGAGTGTATGTGAAGCTTGACTTTTCTAATTCAAAGACAAAGAACACATTCTTTGAGAATGGTTGCATATCTAATATATATATATATATATATATATATATATATATATATATATATATATATA